TGAATCTTTTCTCCTCCTAGAAGTTTGATAGTTATATTTAGGTCTGTGGTTCATTTCCGCTTCATTTTCGAGTGTGACGGGAAGTAAGGATCAAGGTTCATTTTTTTTCCTCTACACATATTTAGTCCCAACACGATTTGTTGAAAAGACTGTTCTTTCCCATTAAATTTGTTTTGGCGCCTTTGTTGACTATCGGTTGACCTTACAGGGAAGTATCTATTTCTGGACTCTGGTCATTCCATAGATCTGTTTGTCTCTCCTTACACCAATAGCACACTATATTGATTACTATAACTTTATAAAAAGTCTTGAAATCAAGTATAAGTTCTCCACTTTGTTCTTCTTTTTCAAAATTTCTTTGACTATTCGAGGTCCTTGCAGACCATATCAATTTTAGAATCACTCGTCAATGTTCACAAAAATGCGTTTTAGTATTGTGGTTTCCTTGAATCTACCACTTCAGACCACTTCAGTGAGGACTGGCAACCATGAGCAGAGTATATCTCCGTTTATTTAGGTCTCTCTTCACTTCTCTTAACCATATTTTGTAGTTTTTATTGTAGAGATCTTGCACATATTTTCTTAAATTTATCTTTAACACAGGTTGAGTATCCCATATCTGAAATGCTTGGGACCAGAAGTGTTTTGGATTTCAGATTTTTTCAGATTTTTGAATATTTGCATTTTATACTTACCAGTTGAGCATCCCAAATCCGAAAATCTGAAATCTAAAATGTTCCCATTGAGCATTTCCTTTTAGCATCATGTTGGCATTCAAGAAGTTTCAGATTTTGAAACATTATGGATTTCAGATTTTTGGATTAGGGATACTAACCTGTATTCTCTTGATGCCATTATACATGGTATTTTACATTTCATTCTGAAATTGTCTGTTGATACAAATAACTACAACTGTTTTTTGTAAATTGTAACTTCGCAGAATTCACCTATTCTAGTAGATTTTCTGTAACTTCCTTAGGATTTTTTTACACAGTCGTGTCATTTGTGAGTAAAGACAGTTTTATTTCTTTTTCTTCCCGTATTGTTCTGGCTGGGACGTCCAGATCAGTGTTGAGTAGAAATAGTGAGAGCTGATATCCTCGTGCCTCATTCCATGAAATGCTCCCTGGTGAGATTTCTTGCTTGGGTCTTCATATTTGTATTTTGTTAGATTCAGAGTTCCATGGAGCATGTTTCCATGTGACACAGATGACCCAAAACTAGAACATTAACCATTTTAGAATCAATGTTCTCGAGCAATCAGTCATTGCCACGAGCCTTAATAGGTAGTTGCAAAGATTACCTGAAAGAACAGGCTCTACAGCCGGGCACAGTGGCTCATGCCTGTAATATCAGCACTTTGGGAGACCGAGGCAGGAGTCAGCCTGGGTAATAAAGCAAGATCCCATCTCTAAAAAAGAGATTAGCCAGGTGTGGTGGCACATGCCCGTAGTCCCAGCTGTTGGGGAGGCCAAGGCAGGAGGATCACTTGAGCCCAGGAGTTCGCAGCTGTGGTGAGCTGTGATCATGCCACTGCACTTCAGCCTGGGCCACAGAGCGAGACCCTGTCTCTTTCAAAAATAAAATAAAACAAAATAATAGCCTCCCAAAATAGCAATTTGTCAGAGTATACCATGTGTACTACGTGTGTCATATAAGCTTTGCAAACTGGAAACTTTGATGGACTTCGGTGTGTGCCAGGAAGATTTCTTCTTGACAAATTCTCTCTGAAGCATTAGTGAAGCAGTTCATTTACATTGGGGCAGAGGAAGCTTTTTATTTTATTTATTTATTTATTATCAAGCTGGGCTCTGCCTCTGTTTCCTGGGCTAGAGTGCAGTGCCGTCATCGTAGCTCGCTGCAACCTTCATTTCTGTCCTCATAGTGTGGCCCTGTGTGTGTGTGACTTTATCTCCATCAGGGCACACATCCGGGCCCCTGTCTTCGATGACATGTGTTCCCACTGGACCTCGGGGACCTTAGGAGCCGTGGACATCGCGGCACCCGGCTGTGGCGCACACAGCCCCTGCTACACAGAGTGCTCGGGACCCACCTTGCGTGGAACTGATGAGAAAAGTGCAGGAAAAAAGGCTGAACTGTGAGCTCAGGTGTCACCTGGAAAAACGGGAAACCTGTTTGAGGTCGGCGAAGACTTGGTTTAAGAGAGATTTTGAGCTAGAAAGAACCAGAAGAGCCTTTCATTTCCTAAGTGAGGAAAAATGACTGAATCTCTTGCTCAACATCACACAGCTAGAATCAGAAAATCGTTTAATTGGAAAACTGTTGGCTCCAGATACAGTATATTTTCCAGCGGACTGATGAGCTGATTCATCGTCAAATCTACTTGGCAACATGCTTTACAGACTCACGGATCCTCCACTCCTGCCTTCGTACTGAGTACAGCTAGATGCGGGAAAAGCGAATAATTTTGTAAAGCATTCTTAATTTCTGTAACAAGGAAGTAGGTGGAGTTCTGAGCAGCTGTCTGCCTTGCCAGGGCTTTGCCATCTGTTGCTAAAGACGAGGACGGTAATTCAGAGACTCTGTGGAACAGACACTCTGCTGCGTTGCTGGTGGGAAACCGGCAACGTTTTCTCAAAATCGCGGAGGAACCGACTATGACACACTAGTGTCGCTCTGGGCATCTCCCCTAGAGATACGTCTGCACGCGTATGAAATGGCACCGCGCGAGGCTGTCATTGCAGCGTTGCCTCGTTACAACAGCAAGAGAGAGGAGTGGATCCAGGCATCCAGCACAGGGAGCTGAGGGAGCAAACTCCGGTGCGTCCCCACGACGGAGTCCCTCCCAGCCACAGACAGATCGAGAGGCTCTGGGATGTGGAAATATTCCCAGCACATGTTAAGTGAAAACAGGTAGGCACTGGAAAGTTCCTATGCTTTGTATCTACGTAAGAGCAGGGACGGGAATAAGGATCTACACGTGCACAGGACACAGTGGAAGGATGATGTGAATTGTTGCCAGTAGGAGGCGCACGACTTCTCGATTTATACCTGCTTCTATTATTGTGATTTGCAAATGATTCCCCCCCAAACCCCCATAATTGAAAAGTAGGTAAAGGAGGAAAAACGGAAGAGTCAAATGCGGCGCATCACCTTGCCCACGCGGCTTCCTGCTTGCTTCAAGGGTGGGAACGGGGCGTGGACTCAACCTTAAACGGAACTTGGAGTTGTCGCCAGAACGCAGGACGGGGCATTCCGATTGGTTCTTACCCTTTTTCGTGGATCCCTTCTAGAATGAAGTTTGTAAAGGGCCGAGATGAAATGCATCGATCGGGTTGTAAAACACAGAGGCTGGCAGTTGAGCAGAGAGAAGCAGCATGAGTGAAAGCAAGAGGGCTGGAAGCTTCCTGGGTGCCCTAAGGAGCTGTGCGTGGTCCCGGGTGACTGGAATGCAGGCCCCACGGGGAGGAGGGGGAGGCTGAGGAGGGCCTACCTGCAAGCAGGGGTTCACCATCTTTCCAGGTGTCATCTGTCCTCCCTTTCCTTCCCCTCCTCCCCGCCTCCCCCTCCGCCTCTGCCCCCTCCTCTCCTCCCATCACAACACCCACCAAGGCTAAGCAAGCGCTCAGCGGGCACCTACAGCACTTAGAGTGGTTGATTCTTGTTCCTGACCATTGTTGTCATTAAGGGCTCACCACGCAGTCTGTCTTGAGGCTGAGAATGAGCCAGTTGTATGTGGGCATTCGCTGGCTGCCAGAGTTTGGCCCTAACACATAAAGTCAAGCCAACAGAACAGCCCTACCAGGAGATCAGAGACAAGGGGCCCCACACACGAATGGGAAATCAAGAAATCTTGGCTGGGCTCAGTGATCCCAACACTCTGGGAGGCTGAGGCAAGAGGATCACTTGAGGCCAGGGACTTGAGGCTGCAGTGAGCACCACTATACTCCAGCCTGGACAACAGAGCAAGACCCTGTCTCTTGGCCTGGCGCGGTGGCTCACGCCTGTAATCCTAGCACTCTGGGAAGCCGAGGCAGGTGGATCGCTCAAGGTCAGGGGTTCGAGACCAGCCTGAGCAAGAGCGAGACCCCCGTCTCTACTAAAAATAGAAAGAAATTAATTGGACAACTAAAAAATATATGGAAAAAATTAGCCGGGCATGGTGGCACATGCCTGTAGTCCCAGCTACTGGAGGCTGAGGCAGGAGGATCGCTTGAGCCCAGGAGTTTGAGTTGCTGTGAGCTAGGATGACGCCATGGCACTCTAGCCCAGGCAACAGAGTGAGACTCTGTCTCAAAAAAAAAAAAAAAAATTGTGTATGTTTATAGGGTTCAATGTAATGTTATAACATGTGTATAACGTGGAATAATTAAATCAAGCTAATTAACGTGTCTATCACCTCACATACTTATCATTTTTGTGGTAAAAAGATTTAGAATCTACCCTTTTGGCAACTTTGAAACATACGAAACATTATCATTCACTGTAGTCACCATGCTGCGCGGTAGATCCGTAAAACGTGTCCCTCCTGTGTAACCGAAACGTCCCCTTTGACCAACAACTCCCCGTTCCCCATCCACCCCCCAGGCCCCGGGACCACCGTTCCGCTCTCCGTGTCTGCGGCTTCAGCCTTTGAGATTCCACACGTAAGTGAGATCGTGCGGGATTTGTCCTGTGCCTGGCGTCGTTCACCTGGCGCAGTGTCCTCCAGGTGCGTCCACGTTGTTGCAGGTGGCGGAGTTCCACTGGTTTTTGTGGCTGAGGAGTATCGCACTGTGCGCGTGCGCAGCACTGTCTTCATCCGCTCATCTCCCTGGCGGCAGTGAACGGAGGAGTGCAGCTATCTCTTTGCCCGAGGTCTTTTACAGGCATTTCTGCTGTGTTTGTGTATAATCTTAAGTATTTTCTAGTGTCTCCATTCCAGGTACTAATTTGCGAGTTGTTTTCTAGAACTCAGAGGTCTCAGAAGAGTCAGCTCAAAGAAATACCTCTGGCAGTTACTGAGGAAAACAAAAGTCAACTTCAGCCTTCACTGTGATGCTGGGTAAGTCACCTTTGCTTGTCTCGCCTTGTATCTCCATTGATATTTAATAAGTAACTCGGGGACATTGATAATGCAGAGTCAAGGCCACGCACGCATTCGTTTGACCCGTAATACTTTTCTCTTTTGCCTGACCTATTTACACACACCTTCTAAATTTAACCAGAGCACAATGTCAGCTGCAGGTGGAAACGCAGATCCAAAAGTTCTCGTTCTCAATACCTAGAGTTTCGAACCTAAGGAAGCGAGTACAAAGACACGGCTTTAACAGTCAGGATCGAAATGCACCTTTCAGCATTTCACCTGGGTGTCTGGCGGGAAGGAAGTCTTGACATGGGGTTCCAAGTTTTAAAGAAAAGTTTATTGACCCAGTGAGCACTTTCTTGATTTATGTTTCCGTCTGTCAAACCTTCATTTCCTATGCAAAGCCTTCCCGGAATCCAGTTTGATAAGGTAAAGGGTACGGTCATTTCAGAGGGTTCCAAGGTAAGCACAGAGCATTTGGAAGACGCTGGGGAAGCAGCAAAGCCTCCCCTCCCCCCCAGCTCCGCTGAGTTTTCATATCTGTAATATTTTGCATGACCTGCTGTTGAAGAAAATCAGGATGCATAGTTAACATCTCAGACACTGGGAGCTTATAGTGCACTGTTCAATGCTAATTGATTTTTATTTTATCCACTCTGTTGTTTTCCTTCCTCCAGAAGCAGATTTCTCATCTATGTGGAAGGCAGAAAGCAGACAGCAATACCAAACACTTAGCCCTAAAACAAAAAGAGGATTGTAATTCTCCCTAAGCAACATTCAACACCAAAGGGCAGCAGGACCTGAACGTTAATTTTTTTAAACATCTATATTTTGTTTTCAAATTGACCATTTTTCTGTGTAAGAAATATTTTCATGTGTAAGAAATTAGACCTTATCATATATATACAAACTTGGAATTATGCTCAGAAAGAAAAAGACTTCTCTTCAAAGATACAGACTATAGTTAAGTACTAGAGAAGATCTTTTAAGGTGTGAACATCAAATAGAGAACCCCTGCCTATAAAATGCTGTTTTAACTATCTGATTTAAAAAAAAAAAATCTGAGCATACATTTAAATTATAACCAATAGCTTATCAGAGTCAGCTCAAAATATAATAGTATTCTCTTACGGTTTTAGGTCTGGACTTAGCTGTGTAAATAGACGTGAAATGATATGCTATAAAATGTTTTTAACTGGAAAATATCTCCTTAAATTGACAATCGAGGTCCTTTTGTCCCAAGCTGAGCAGAGCCCCACCTCGTCTGGGTCTGTAGAAGTCCCATCTACTTACGCAAAGCTTGCTGGAAGATCAAGTTTTATATGCATTTTATTTTATCATTAAAGAATAAAACACTTCTGTTTTAACTTGTAATTTCATTTTTTAAAGAATATACTACTATGTGCCTCTGCCCCTTCTAAGAGAATCCATCAGCTTTAGCCAATAAAACATATTTTTAATAATAGAGAAAAATGTTTCTTTGGTTTCTTGTATGACACGGGAATAAAATAAGGAAGGTTAGTTGCTTTAAACTGAACCTGGTAAGTTAATGTCCTCAAGAATGAGAATGCATTTTTTTTTTTTAAGCATTGCAGATATCAAAGTTCTATTGTGCTGAATAAATGTCCCTTTGTTGGAAGGTTTCAGTGTTACCTCAGAGATGATTTTCATGAGAGGGGAAGAGCAACCCCATTTAGCCTTTTTAATTAGGGTGCTGAAAAGAGGAATGGGGTGAGGTTTGGTTATGTTCTTTATCAATGCATGCTTTCTCCCTCGGGCCGGTTTGCACAGAGCAAAACTGAAAAAGGTATAGTTGATTCTGAACCACCGCCTGCCAACTAGGAAACCTAAAATGGCCCCGGAGAGAATGACTTCCAATCTGAGAATCAAAATATTCGATTTTCTCCCTCTGTTTATGATAGGTCCATGGCTACATTTCAACTTGTCTATTGAAAAGGGAACACTCACTAGATGCTAAGTAGCAAAATTTCAGGGAACTAAAGGATTTGAAAATAATTAAAAACTATTTTATGGCTAAATGTCTTTTAGCTCCTGCGATTATGGTACCTATTCTTATCCCACCACACTGTTGTGTATTATTCCATATGTAATTCAAGAATGGGGAATTTTAATATTAGCAAATTACCTATCTCAACCTAAGTTATTTAAATGTGTGATCAATTTATGTTAAAGAGAGGCAGTCTCTTTTTTCTTCTTTTTTCTTCTGTACTTTAATGGATGCAAGAGGTAATCTCATAGTATGTTTGAAATGGTTGCAAGTTAAAACTAGATTTTTGGCATTTATATTTTATCATCAACATTCTTAAGATGAACATACTATCTTAGAATTACACTATAATTTGCCTGCCAGAAATGATCTCAGCCATTGGAAAAGACTGATAGAAGGGTATTTTTAGAATTAGTGAACAGATTTTTTTTAAACATAAATAGAAATACCCCCCAAAAGAAAGAAATTCTGCATCAAGATAATGCATAAACACTAAAAACAATTTTACCCCAAAAGTGCCAATCCAATGCATAGAATTGAGAGGCTGCTATAGGCTGGTTCTATGCATTTCCAGAAGGTGGCTGAGAAATGAAACCTCGTTGTCCTCTGGCTAATTGATCCTGGAGTTTGTGGCTTTGTGCTGAGACTCCCTGTCTGTGGTTCCACACCTGTAGTTAGGGGGTGTTTTGCATAAGGCACCTGTGTTTCTCTTGAGCCTCTTTTTTTTTTTTTAAAGACAGAGTCTCACTCTGTCACCCAGCTGGAGCGCAGTGGCATCATCATGGCTCGCTGCAGCCTCACACTCCTGGGCTCGAGTGATCCTCTCACCTCGGCCTCCCAAAGTGCTAGGATTACAGGTGTGGGCCACTGGGCCCAGCCTTCTCCAGCCATTTGATGACGATTTTGTTAGGACACATTACAGGAAGGTTCATCATTTTTGGCCTTCAATAGAATAGTCTTAGGAACCTCCTATGTGATAGGGAACAACGTGAATTATATCAAAATAAGAAACCAGACACATTGATCAAGGCTGCGGCTGATGAGGGAGGTTAAACACCAGAATGGTCTCTGTGGAGTTTATCAAACGAGGAATGCACATTCATCCATCTTGAAAAGGACTTCTGGGTTCTCAGCCAAATACATGCTTAAGAAATCCAACAAAAAAAGAACAAAATAATTTTGAGCACCCAGTAGGTGTTTTGCTGGCCACTGGAGACACAACAGTGAGCAAAGCAGACTTAAGCCTTGCCTGCAATCTAGTGATGGAGACAGACTTTAGTCAGATAATCACACGGAAGACCACTGAGTGCTATGAAATAAAGCTTTGAAGATACTGTGACAGCATGTAACAGGGACAAAGGTGAAGGGTGGAGGGTTCAGGGAACGCTTCCCTGAAGAAGTGACATCTGAACCAAGAGCCAAAAGACAAGGAGATGCAAACTAGGCCAACAGGAAGAGGAAGGGAATTCCAGACAATAGTAACAGCATGTGCAAAGGCCCTGAGGTGGGGAGGAGCATGATATGACGAGTTCGCAGACCTGATGGGCTGGGATGGCACAAGATGAAGCCAGAAAGAGAGACTGGGGACAAGTCATGCATGCGTGTCAACGAGGCAGTGTGGATATTGCAGCACACAGCATTTTAGTGAGCCCAAGTGATGTCACCTCTACTGTTTGTCTTGGATTTTCCTTGAGATGAGGTCCAATTTGTATCCCAAATGCTTTGCCTTTGTGATACCCTGGGAAGGAGGATGAAACATCCCTCAAGATATCCCAAAGTGGCACCCTGAATCTGGTGACAGGGACAATCTCAGTACTGGACCAGGCAGTACTAGACCTGCCTGAAGACGTCCCCAGAGATGAACTGAAGCAATGAGGAGCGGGAAAGTTAGCATCCTTGTGTCCCCAGGAATGCTGTTTCACAAAATAACCGGTACATCGAAGTATACCAAATTCTGGGGGTGTTCGTTTCCTCTTTCAGCCCTCATTTCACGCGCATGTACTGAACATTGCTCAGCACCGGGCACCCTGCCAAGCGCTGAGATAGAAAACTGAGTAAGACGGTGTTCTCTGGCCTCTAGTAGCTCAGAGTCTTACCTATAAGCAGATAAATTACAATTGATTGGACATATATTAGCAAAGTGCTCTGGGATCCCCGAGCAAACCCATCGCGGGATAGTAGCAAAAGTCACTGGCCACCGAATACAGTACAAGTGGCCTGGTTGCCCAGAGCACAGCCTTCGAAACGCGGCAGATCTGAGTCCGGATCCTGAATACAGTTTCCCAGTTGTGTGAACACGGCTGAACTCTCTGAGCCTGTAAAAACACTGCCACCGACTTTAAAGAAGATTAAATGAGATGCTGTTTAACAAATGGCAGGCATGGCGCCGGGCACAGGAGTATGCTCTATTATTATTCAAGAGCGGTAGCTGGTTGCTACTGTTAAGTCACCGTGGCAGATGTTGTAGGCCCAGAGGGTGCTGCCTGGTTTACAAGAGGATGCTGCGCATGTCAAGGTCACAGGGTAACTGCCTTTGTTCCACGTGGAAAGAGGAGTCTGAGAAAGGGCCGGTGTCCCTTGATGGTGGTTGTATTTGACCACAGGTCTTGACTAAGTTGCGGAGGATTATAAATGAGACACACTTGTGACGGGTTTACCAGGGCCTGGCGAATACTAAGCACTCAAAACATTAGCTATTGTTGTCATTCTATTGTAATTCTGGCAAAGAAGCTTTTTAGAGCTTGGAATTAGATTAAGCATGATTAATTTCTCTTTTTAGTGGCGTGAGAGGAGAGCCTTGGAGAGCCATGGCGGATAGGGCTCTCGGTGACAGGTCTTGGCTAGAGGGTGAGGGATGGGGGGCAGCTTGCAGGTTTGGGTGGCATCATACTCCTTCTGCCTCCCCTCAAAGAGCGAGGGGAGGCCCAGGGCTGTTTATGCCCAGTGTCGCCTCTGCCTTCTGGTAGGAAAGCTAAGCACAGCAGACACAAAATAACAATAATCTGAGAGCTACGCTTGGGGGGGACTTTGGGTTTTCATTAATTTTTTTACTCCAGCCTTGTGACCAATAGTTTTAAAAGTCTCCCGCCCCTCCTGGGGCATCTCCTCCCCGTCCTTGGCTGGGCCAGCTCCGGGTTTGGTTCCGATCTGCCTGCTCCGGTCCCGGCCCAGCTGCGCCCCAGCCCCGGCCCTTACTGCCCCCGTCCCTGGCGAGGTGTCACCGCGAATCCCGCGTCGACGGCTGCAGTTTTGTTACAGGTGCGCAAAAAGGGAGCGCTCACGTGGGTGCAATTTCACACGTAAATTAAGACCAGAAAGGGGGAAAAATAAGTCTGTTTGTGCTGCCATTGACCAGACTCATGGAGGCCAAATTTTCTTCAATTAACCAGATCTAGGCCTGGTGTGGACAAGTCCTAGCGGGTTTTGGGCCGGGCGGGGAGGGAACTGCCGGTGCCCCCAACCTACAAGAAAGGAAGAGGGCGGG